ACGACAGATCCGGATGACCGGCGATTCTCAGTTATTAATTTAGTAATAAATTAATAACTGAATAATTAGTAATGAGAAGAAATGTCGGCTGTCAATGTTGAGGCAACGTTGACTGCCAACGTCGGGGAAATGTCGGCTGCCAACATTGGGGCAATGTTGCCTCTCAACATTACCTCAACGCTGGCAACCAACATTGCCTCAACCTTGGTTGTCAATATTACCTCAATGCTGGAAGCCAACAATGCCCCAACCTCGGTTGTCAACGTCGGGACAATGCTGGCTGCCGACATTGGGACAATGTTGGCTGTCAACATTACCTCAACGCTGGCCGCCAACGTTGCCTCAACCTTAGTTGTCAACATTACCTCAGCGTTGGGCCAATGTTGAATTCAATGAATCATTAAATTCAATTTAAACTACAACGTTATAAAAATTTCATTCAGAATCGAATTAAATTAACTGTATTTACAATTTATAACTAAATAAAAAATATATAAACTATATTTGGACGAAAACAATTTTCCACTTGTTTATTTCAAAGTCAAGGTGTCACTCACTGATGCAGTACCTCATATCAAGCTGAATGCATAATACCCTTTATTACCGTCACACAACTTGGAATGTGATACAACAGTGAAGTACTTACGAAGAAAATTCGTAATTGCGAGTGTAAAACAAGCAAAAAACGAGGGGACACAGAAGGCAAAAAAATCATAAAAAAAAACTGGAGCAGTGCACATTACAGCATAGAGTGACGCAGCGTGCAAGTGGAAAGAAGAGTGGAAGAAAAAGAAGGAGACATCCTATATATGGGTCACATTGTCGGTGACACGACCTCGTTTTAGTTGAGCGCATCGCAGAGCCAAACTTTTACTAAAAACCAATGTACGATTCGGCTCTACCGCCTGTCGTCCTCTCGCTCGCTCTCTTTATGGGCCGAAACCGCATCACTCGGCCTAGGTTACAAATTCCCAAGTGGATTAGCACTTGCTGTTGTCATTGTTTCCGTAATTCCTGTCGGCTCACCGCAATTGATTCTCGGGGATCGTTCCTAATTGTTCGGGACAATTCGCTATTCCTTATCCTTATTACACCCAAAAAAAAGGATTTTTGATCAGTAGAAAAAGTACTTGTACCCAGTAAGGGGTTTCGGGGGAAAAGGCACATTTTTGTACTTCCTCGAAGTTATAAAACAACTTGATGCAAGTATCATGCGTCAAGTACCTGTGTACTGGTGAGAAGTACCTCAGTACTTGTCACAAGTATTTTGTTACTTGGATTAAGTAACAAAATTACTTGTACTGAGTACCTGGCTGGTTCTTTTCAAAAGTACCAAATAAACTCAATATAATTTGAGTATAAGAACTCAAAAATGTTTTTCTACCTCTTCTAAAAACCGAATTTCGTCAAAAATTCAAAAATCCAAATAATTCCCGTTTTGTGAGTAATAAAATTGAAAAGAAATTGAAAATAATGTTTCGGAGCCTTTTAAATGTTGATAACAACATAAAACAAAAATCTCAACGAATTGAAATTTTGTAGGTTGGAAAGCATATCAATAATTCTCGAAAGCATCTATAAAAATCGCAATCTATTGATTTTTCCTACACAATATCATCTGCTGAACATTTCTATTTACAAAAATGCGTAAGAAAGCCCATTATATCCGGTAATAATATTCACTTTTTTCAATAAAGTAATCAATTGGAAGTACTGAAATTAAGTCCCAAAAGAACTTGAGAGAAGTTGAAAAGTGACTTTTCACCAGTACCTTTGGTACTTGTGACATGTACTAAAAGTACTGGCAGTAAGTAGTGATACTACTTCCTCCCAGTACCATTTCTACTCGATCGGCAGATGTGGTACTTCACCCAAGGACACAAAATGTACTTGGGGCGAGTATTTTTAGAACTTTTCAAAAGTGAACTTCCCCCAAGTACCGGTTTGTACTGGTGAGAATTAATTTTTTTTTTTTGGGTGCAATGATAAGGTCTGACTGTTCAGAATAATTGGGGGTGCACACTTCTCTCATTAAAAGTATTTACAAGTGTCACGATTTCACGATGAGAAGACGCGAGTATTTTCCAGTGTGAAATTACGCATTTGCAGGTCCAAAGAGTTTAACAACATTTTAAAACACAAAATAATCTAGATATTTTAATTGATTCAGATATCGATGAGAATTGTATTAATTGTCCTCTTTGGATGTTGTCGATAAATAATGAGTCCTGATCGTCTCCTGGGGCTGTCAGTCTCGTGGGGGGATAATCGACAGTGGATTGAGCTGAGTCTGAAGTGTGGGAAATTTAATATGGGAATGCATCGCCGAATATCAATCAGTATTGATTATGGGATAATAGTGGTTGTTAATGAATCAGTTAGAAGTTATGGAGGTATAATTGATCATTACTTCAGCAGCACTGAGTATTGAAGGAATTTCGTTATTGAAAATTCACAATTTGATGGCAAAATCAGGGGAAACTGTGAATTTTAGTTCAATTATTTCATAAAAATTAACAGAAATCAACCAAATTCAGGTCAATATATTCTTATATTTTCTAAATTGGGTAAATTTCAGACTTCTCGTCTTCCCGCTGCACAAAAATTTAGCGCCTAGTTAAATTTGTAATCAAGTTTGAAATTTTTATGATTTATTCACCCCTAAATCGCATTTAATGTCTCTCTTCTCAAAATTCCTACTGAACTCTCAATGAATTTTTAATAATTTCCTAAAATTATAGATAAAAAATAAAAGTATTTTGATTCCCTTCATGTCACGATGAAAATACTCAGCAAATGGCACTATCAAACCGACCGAAATTCCCATTTTTAGATAAAGTTGTTCATCATACCTCTCTTCCTATACACATGCGAGTAAACAACTCAGGCGTGATGCAATATATGCAGCTGGATGTGCTATTTGGACGTGCACTATACCTGAGAATTTTTATGGAAAACTGCACGGAAGTATGAAACTCTGTGATTTATCTTTTTCGAGAAGTTTTGTAGAGGGCACATCTGCAGCCTCACATGTTAAATCATTTTTGTCATACGATTGGAATAAAATGACGTGATATAATTAAATAATTAATTAAACTCCGCAAATGAATTTCAATATTCCACTGAACAATAATTTTAAAAAATAATTCTCATCAATTTTAATCAGAGATAATTAAAATAATAATTAAAATCGTAGTACAGAATTAAAATTATTTTATCGTTCCGATTTTATTATACTAATTATCAATCAACAGTTTCAATTTTTCAAAAATTTTATAAATCATCAATCAACTTCGCAAGAATGATGATTATTAGATCAATTGAAAAATCAAATTCAGATCTTTAGAATTAATTGATTAATTATAATTTTGCATTAAAAATTATTTTAAATTCCACTTTTAAAAAATCTAGCGTAACGATTTTTGAAGTCTCTATTCCGCTTATCAAGTAATATAATATAATGTCTATGTTAATTTTTTTATGAACTGTAATCTTTTTTTTTACAGGAATTGTAAAACTAAGAGAAATTCATTTCTTACTGTTATAAAAAAAATACATATATAAGATAGAATATATGCATATAATATATTATATAATATATAAATAATAAGAATAATAATAATAATATATTTCATTATATATTATATAATTATATAATATGTTATATAATAGATACTATATATGCATATACATTTTTGTATACCTCAATTTTTTTCAACTGTTGAAAAATTAAATACAGTTATGTATAGAAAAATTAATAACACAGGTCCGTAAAAAAAATACATAGAAGAGTAGTAAAGAAGAAAATGCAAAGGATTGTGACAATTCTGAATAAATTATTCAACAATTAAATTCTCATTGTGAAAAACTTAATTGAAATCATTCATTTTTCCTGCATTATTATTGAGATAAAAATTAATGAAAATGAGAAATGGTACGGTTTTACTATTCTGACATGCATGTTCTAGTTTGAATAAAAAAGTAGTGTAATTAGTGTAGTGTAATTAGTGAAATTAGTAATGTAATTAGTGTAGTTAATATCTTTGATCAATTTACGGTAAACTTCTTGTAAAATGTTTGAGTACCAATTTTTGCTGATTCCTGATTTCAATAAAATCATGAAAAATTAAGTTAAATTAACGGAAAAAGGAAACAAATTTTGAAAATTATAATTGTTTAAAAAATATGCAGAACAGAATCCTACCTTATCCTCCAGGAGTCAGACGGTTCGTGAACGCGCTAGCAGATGGGGGTCCGCTATCGATTAACTCTTTCGACTCTCTTCGATTCGAAAGCCTAAGCTGACGAAACAGCGTCGAAGCGCATATTTCAGTCCAGAAGATCATTCGATGTTGGCGATGATTTCAAAATCTAATCCATATGAGGAAACAATATAAACATAAACAATGATTTCATAGACTGGAAAAAAATTCACAAAGGGAAAATAATAATCCATTCCGTTACTAAATAATTCTTTATGTGTCATTATCATCGAGTTACTTTACAATTTTTTAACAATCATTAATTACAAAATAAGTTCCTCTCAACTATTCTCAACAAAAGAAATTAATAAGACATTGGTACATACTCAATATAAATGAATTCCCATTGAATCAGCCTCGAATATGTCTCACGTTCATCGATCGCATCGAGAATAAAACTGAATTTTCAAAATGAAAATAGTCTCAAAGCAACAGTTACATATTGCACACCCAAATGGGTCTCCCCCCATTCTCACTCAGACGGAGAGAACATCCGGGAGGTAAAAGAAAGATGAAAGAACATAAGCGAGAGGTGTAGATATAAAATCAGTAGCGAAGTGGTCACAAGATTTAAGTCAATTTGGTCTTCAGTTGAGTTTTCCAGAAATATTTCCGAATTGAAGGGAGATAGCAAAATTTTCATGATAATCTTTTTTGTAGAGCAAATTGAGTGCTACTAAAAAGGTTATGAGAAAAATTTTGTTATCTCCCTTAGATTTCGAGATATTCATTGAAAACTGGCCAATAGCCAAAATCGGCTTAAACCGTTCGACCACTTCGCTACTGAAATGAAGAAAAAGAAAAAATCGTACGATCAGGCATTCCCTCACAGACTAAGATATCACATTGTAGAGCTGTCTGCTTCAATAATGAGACTAGTTCGGAGTTCGCATTTAAAAAAAAAACATAAATAATCAAATTGTTAACGGTAGAACTCTGACAGTATGATAACTCATCCTCACGCTATAAATTTATATAAATATTCTCTTGAAATATTTCTCGCACTTCTCTCATCAAAAGTATTTACAAGTATCACGATTTCACGATGAGAAGATACGAGTATTTTCCAGTGTAAAATTACATATTTACAGGTCCAAAGAGTTGTTTAACAACATTTTAAAACTCAAAATAATCTAGTTATTTTAATTGATTCAGATATCAATGAGAATTGTATTAATTGTCCTCTTTGGATGTTGTCGATAAATAATAAGCCCTGATCATCTCCTGGGGCAGTCAGTCTCGTGGGGAAATAATCGACAGTGGATTGATCTGAATCTGAAACATGGGAAATTTAATATGTGAATGCACCACCGAATATCAATCACTATTAATTACGGGATAATGCTGATTGCAAACGAGTCAATTAGAAGTTATGGAGATATAATCGATCATGAGTCTCGTTCTGAAAAAAATATTCATGTGCCTCGTGTATGAATGCTCTCATCCCACACCTCTTGCACCTCTCACTTGTCACTTTTCCCCTTTGTTTTACTTCTCATCATACAGCGACCTTCTTCTGGGACATCGCAATTCAAATAATTGACGCCTTCAGCGAGTAGAAAGGGACTGGTGGAGAAACAATTATTCAGGATAGAGTAATGAGAAACTCAAGTTTTTTTTATTCTCTGAATATATTCGATGGTTTGCAGAATAAAATATCTATCTCTGATAAACTTGGAGTGATTGTTGAGAATAATGCGGTAGTGCGTACCGCCAAGTACGCGATCGAGAATCTAACAGCGTTCGACGTGAAGGGAATTAAGTGGATGATTCTTCGACTAAATTTGGTTTTCGTTTTCGGGCGCTAAATGCGATTGAATACGAAGGAAATTCGAAAAAATATATTTTTCTTTCTAGATTATAAAAATCCAAATCGATTTCTGGGGATGGAAATTTGGTACTCGAAATTAGGACTCTAGAATTAAGGGTCAGTAATGTAGGGTTGCAAGGGTCAGGAGGCTTATAATGAGGGTTAGGATAAGGGATAGAAAGGTCATATTAAGGGCCACAAGGGTCAGATTAAGGGTCATAAGGGTCAGATTAAAGGTTGCAAGGGTCAGATTAAAGATCACAAGAATCTAAATAAGGGTCAGAATAAAGGTTATGAGGGTTAAAATAAAGATTAGAAGTAGGGTCTATATAAGGGCCACGGAAGTCGAAATGAAGGGTCATATGGGGCTCTCTCTATATTATCAAAATCTAAATCGACTTCTGGTTATGAAAAATTGTTACCCGAAATTACGACTCTAGAATTAAGGGTCAGTAATGAAGGGTTGCAAGGGTCAGGAGGGTTATAATGAGGGTCAGAATAAGGGTTAGAAGGGTCATATTAAGGGCCATAAGGGTCAGATGAAGGGTTGCAAGGGTCAGATTAAGGCTTGCAAGGATCAAATTAAGGTTAACAAGGGTCAGATTAAGGGTTGTAAGGGTCAGATTAAGGTTCACAAGGGTCAGATTAAGGGTTGCAAGGGTCAGATTAAGGATCACAAGGGGCAGATTAAAGATCACAAGGGTGTAAATAAGGGTCAAAATAAAGGTCATGAGGGTTAAAATAAAGATTATAAGTAGAGTCTATATAAGGGCCACGGAAGTCGAAATAAAGGGTCATATGGGGCTCTCTCTATATTATCAAAATCTAAATCGACTTCTGGTTATGAAAATTTGTTACCCGAAATTACGACTCTAGAATTAAGGGCCACGTGGGTGGAAATAAAAGTCACGAGGGTCACAAGAGTTGCTTAAGGGTTACAAGTGTCAGACTAAGGGTCGCAAGGGTTGATTAAGGGTTACAAGGGTTAGGGTAAGGCTCACAAGGGTTAGATTAAGGGCTACAAGGGTCACACGAAGGAAGTAAATAAGGGCTATGAGGTTCAAAATGAGGGTCATTGAGGTCAAAATAAGGGTTACAGTAAGGGTCTAAATAAGGGTCATGGGGGTTGAAATAAGGGTCAGAATGAAATTCATGAGGGTCAAAATAAGGGTCATGGGGGTCGTTGGAAGTTGGCGAGCGGAGCCGGCAAGGGGCATAGCCTCCCAGTATAATTCTAAAATTGTGGAAGAGATATTAGGGCATGAATAGAACAGCTGTGCGTCTACATAACTTCGACGAAAAAATGGGAAATGAATCCTCAGGGGTTTCTGTATGACTCTTTGCTGTTTACTCCTTCGAGCATTGTTTGCACATCATGTGTGTCTTTGACAATGCTCCCCGGTTTTTTTTTCGTGCGGTCACTTTTCCACTTAATAATCACACTCGTCGTTATTTAGCTTTCCATAGCTCCACTCGGCTAGCTTTGACAGTGTAGCCCCGGGGGCTTCACCCGGGGGAACGGTTTGCTTGAATCACACGAGCGAAATTATTTGAATCGCTCGCAATAAAACTTCAATTTGAACTTTCACTCTATTAACGTTTTTACTCGCCTTAAATAAATACTTTTTCAAATGCGAATAAATGTTCTATTAGTCCAAATTGAAACTCCGTTAGTTAGAATTGAATAATTGTTTAAGCAACGAGGAAAAGGACTTCATTAACAAATCACTTCATTCAGATCAATCATTATTTCTGAATTAAGAGGAGGTTCAGTTCGATAAAAAAAAAACTTTTGCGTTTTTCGAGAAAAAAAAACTTGAAAAAAAAATTTTTTTCCGTGTGATGATGAAAAATGAAAAAGGTCTTTCCCCGGGGTGAACCTCCCCTGAACTCGTTAATTTCTTCTTACAACAGAAGAAAATACTATTGACGAGTTATTGCACCCGAACATCTCCAAATGATTTAAAATCACCGAAAACCTGTTTCGAAACTTTCGGGAAGCAAAAGGGAGGGCTAGAAAGCGAATAAAAAAAAGGCGAAATTACCTATTAGGATCATCCTTGAGACGGAAACCATCGATTTTAACAACGTTCCACTCGTCCCGTGGATCCTTCGAGTAGCTGAACGATACCTGAAGTCCAATGAAAACAAAAATTCACTCATTACCCCTCCAATCTCGTTATTTATAGCACAGTAAAATCATAATATCCATCATTAACAAAAATATCGAGAAAAAAAAATTGACTAAACAACGTACATTGAAATGCTGAGGCATAAAAAATTGTAACTGATGTGTACATATAACTCATAAAAATTTTATTCTTCATTATACGCGCAGAGCGCTGCGTGAATGCTAAAGTCAAAGAGTGGTGAGACACCTGGCGCGAGACACGCCACTTGAGTAACGATGAGATCGCTCGAAGGTCTTTACCTACAAGGTACTAGTGTACAACCCGTCGAGTTGTCGTTCATCATAAACTCCGGGGATACGAACGGTTGGCAATTTTCATATTTTCTTTTGGATTTAACAGATGATTTCAGTTATGCAATTTTGGCAATTTTTTGCTTAATTTTCACTGAGGGATCCACAAAATTTCAAGAGGAATTTCGTTAGTGACAATTACCAATTTTATGAGGTGATAAATTTAAATTATGGATTAATAATAATTAATCTATAATTAATTAATTATGAACTTGAATAGTAATAATAATTATTATTATAATAAATATTTATTTATAATAATAACAATTATTACTATGATTGTTATAAATTATTATTATTATTATTATTATTAATAATAAGAAAAATTCTTGTAAATGAATGTTTTGGTATTCAATTTTTTAATTGAGAAAAAGTCAAATGAATATATTTTTAAATCTTCAATTAATCAGGAATTCTGAGTAATTTTGTAATAAATATTTGTTTTTTCATTAAAAATTCGAGCTAGTGGAAAAAAATTGCTTTTCCCGCCGCTAAAAAATCGAATTTCCACTGAATTTCCAGTGAAATTTCAAAAATCATGATTTTTCTTTATTAAATACCCCAGCAAAATGCAGAAACCCATGACGACAAATTTAGTCAATTTTTTTCTGCATTCATGTAAATTTCTTTTTACAATAAAAATATTCTCGCTGAATTGTGAAGTTCATAATGCCCATTTGCAAAGAAAATAATGTTAAAATAATTGTTTACCTGCTCATGGAAGGTATCCTCATTGAGAAACTTCATAGGCTCCAAGTGTGAGTGGAATTGCTCAACCACTGTCAATTGTTTCTTCAACAAATGCTCAATAATGTACCCCATTGTGACGTCATCGGGCAGTCGAATTCTGTCGCCGACAGTTATGAATTTTCCGCCGCTGTAAAAAAAAAATGCGAATCCAATAATTGAAAAATGATTCGAGATTAATTAAATGAATGAATTTGCAGTGCTTGGACAAATCAGTAGCGAAGTGGTAAACGGTTTAGTCGATTTATCTCTTAGTTGAGTATTTGCAGAATATCTCCGAATCTAAACGAGATAATGGAATTTTCGTAATAACCGTTTTTCTTGAGCAAATTGAGTGCTATAAGAAAGGTTGCAATAAAAATTTAGCTATCTCCCTTAGATTCCGAGATATTCACTAAAAACTGGCCAATAGTGAAAATCGACTTAAATCGTTTTACCACTTCGCTACTGAAATGAATTGTTCTGTACTCCCCGGGATGAAGTATTCATGCGCGAGTGACATTTTTCCACTGAATGGTAGGAAAAATGAGCATTGGGGAAAAATGCGAGTGCAGTTAGTGGATAATGACCTCGCGGAATAAATATTTTTTTTATCCTCCACACCACACCTGGAAATGCCGTCGGCATGGTCAAGGCATTCCCGGGGATCACTCGATATTCTCGGATATATGTGCGGATAGATGCAAAGTCCACAGCCCTTGTTAATTTTCAATGAAAAACAAGGCGCGGAATAAATGAAATAAAATGTAAAATTAACGAATGCCTGATGGTCATGTGGGATAAAGCCATCGAGAGGTACCATCCGTGCGGCAACTGCCTCGGGTGAATTAATCAATACACGGCTGGGTGCGTATGAGTGAATAATTCACATGCAGCTTTAGCCGATACATTCTCCCGCGTGGCGTTGATATTAAAGGAACGGAATGAGGTGGGGAGGCAAATAATTAGTAAAACGGAAGGACGGGAGAGCTGCAGGTGCTGAGTGTCAACGAGACCTGTCTAATCTGCATTGCGATGGAATGTCGCCAAATTAATGTGAGGGACGCCGTGTGTGGAAATTGTCTCGAGTTTAGAGATGAGGAGTTCGTCACTGGAGACATGCAGCGTGGAAAATCGAGGGATTTTTCTGAGGAGTAAAATCGGCTTCAGTCATGATTTGTTTCATTAAGTAGCTTTAAGGCTGCTATACACAAACGTCCACGTCCTGAGAACTATGATTCGTAGAGACGTGAGTTGAAAACCGTTTTATTTGTTATGAAATTCCCGATATTTGTCACACTGGACGTCTCGATGACTTTTTAATAGTTTTCGAGATATTTCAATTGATATTGGGGCATTGTAGCGACAGCGAGAGCACCTTTACTCGAGACTGCATCCGTAGTACATGAACACATGCCTGTGCGCATCGAATTCCCGCCATGCGCAGTGGCCGACTGCGCAACTTCCGTTGGGTTTTTCGTTACATGAGATTTACCAGGGATTACTCTACCACAAAATTTCGATAACGAGGGCTGAGATGTTCACACATCAAAATATCAAAATATGAAAATGATGCTGGGGTGTAATTATTGAGAAGGTTTTTATGATGAATTAAATGGTTTTTTACACATGTATCTACGACTTATGATTTTCGAGATGTTATCATTTGTTTAATTAAGTAGCTTAAGACCTTCAGTTTCTGAGAGCGCGTGCACCGTGGGGCGCTCCTATCCACAAACGTCCACATCCTGAGAACTACGATTCGTAGAGGTGTGAGTTGAAAACCGTTTTATTTGTTATGAAATTCCCGATATTTGTCACACTGGACGTCTCGATGACTTTTTAATAGTTTTCGAGATATTTCAATTGATATTGGGGCATTGTAGCGACAGCGAGAGCACCTTTACTCGAGACTGCATCCGTAGTACATGAACACATGCCTGTGCGCATCGAATTCCCGCCATGCGCAGTGGCCGACTGCGCAACTTCCGTTGGGTTTTTCGTTACATGAGATTTACCAGGGATTACTCTACCACAAAATTTCGATAACGAGGGCTGAGATGTTTACACATGAAAATGTTAAAATGAAGAGAACAAAAATTTGGATAATGCTCTTTGGTAAATCAGGGGATAGTAGATTACGTCACCAGGGAGTGGAGCAAGAAAAGTGGAATAGTCCACCATTTTCTTATAAAAACGATAAGAACTACCTCGCAAGTACAAAAGAGAAACAAACCGTTTGTATCGAGCGATTCGGAGACATAAATCGAGCCAATTAGGGTGGGGGCAACAGGTAGTCGCAACTTTGAGAGAGCATCAGCCCTCTTCGGTCTCTCGTATGGGTTTGTTTGGTGGATAAAATGGACGAGTACCGTTCCGACATGCCGGACAAATATCTCAAAGGGGATGCCGTCCCCGGGACGCGATTTCAATTCTCCCGTCAATTTTTACTCCAGCATTTGCTCCATTCATTTCTTTATGTTCTCTGGCATCTCCCTAATCAGCTGAAATTCAGGGGGAGATAGGCATTCAAATGGTATCGAGGGGCTAGTGCAGTCGCCCTTTGGGAGCTCACAATCAGACTATTTCCATTCGGACAACTGCATGTGTTTCTTATCTCCGTGCGTAATGGATAGTCGTTGCTTACTGGTGATTCGAGGTGGGATTAATGAACTAAACGCGAATGGTATGCGGGGATGTATCTAGAATTAAAATTGCTGGGTTTTCATAATCTAACGAATGGGAAATAATTAGCGAACAAGGAAATTTAAGAAAATTTTTACATTTTTGTAAACACGTGCGGCAGATGGATAATTATTTTCTTTTATTTATGAGTAAATTTAATGAAATTTCAACAATTCCATGCACAAAATTTTAGATTCGTCACACGTCTTAAGTTAAAATCATGTTAATTGTTTTATCTCCTGTTCAAGGATTTATTTTTAATCAATTAATCATTTATTTCGTGTAATTCGATTGAAATAAATGCTTAAGTTTATTAATTTTCACTGGAAACTTCAACATCAAGTTTTATTAGAAATTTCAGTGAAAACATATCTATTTCTTTTTCTGGAATAATCGAATCAAAATTTACAGAATTGTCTTGCAAATAATAAAATTCTTTTAAATTTTGAAAAAAAATGTTGAATATATATTTTTTATTAAAGAATTCATTTTAATGAATTAATCACGCATTTCACATAATTAAACTCCTTCCCCCAAAATAATCCCACAAATTCCCAAATTTCCCCAAAAAAATCCTAAAAAAAATCTAAAATTTCCAAACTGAATTAAATTTCAACTTTAACAAACTCATTTCTCACTATTCCCAACTAAAATCAATATATCCCTGAGAGAAAAAATAATTTTTGTCAAATATTAATTTACTTGAGAGAAGCATTTATTTTTTAAAAATCGTATTTCTTCAGTTATTTGGCAAAAATATTTTTTTTTCTCACTGCAATCTCTGCCGCAGTGCCCCGCCACCATCAGCCCGAATTTTTCATACCCCTTTGAAAAATTTTGTCGTATCCAATTAAAAGTGGATAAGAAAATAACTAGACTAGCGAGTGCTTAATTAACATTTTCTGTTTTCGATTGGACAGAAAGGGGCGGGGAGGGGGGGGGGACGAGAAACGCGTCTCCCCTTCGTCCAGAAAGAGGGACGGACTCATTAGTGAATACCACAGGTCGAATTCCCCCTCCCCCTCTCCCCCGCCGCCGCAATGTTCCACCCCCTGACCGAAACGTCGTTTCGTAGTCCTCCGTAAACATTTAGGTTTACCTCCGGACGCTTTTTAATTGGCCAGATTAGTTGGGCCAAAATTCATCTCCCATTGCCATGATTTCACAATCGTTTTTCACTTGCACCTTTTTTTTACACAAAACCCGCATCATTCTTCGGGCTTTCGGCTCTCCTGTAGCACCGCCACCGCCGCCACCGAGTGAAATAATAAAATCAAAAGAAATAGGAGGGGAGGGGGTAGAAAAAAAAATGTCAGGAGGTTCTGAGCAAATTCGCGAGAATATCGGCCTCGTTAAAATACCAGCTGTCGAAATCGAAATTTCGGGGTTAAGTGGGTGAGACACCGTCTTCCCATCGTCCCCTTCTTTTTGCATTTTTACCTCTATTCTCCCTTCATCCCCGCGCAGTCGGTCCTACTGGGGATTATTTTTTTTTTATGAGGCGCGGGAGACAGTGACTTTTCGTCGCTGACCTGTGATTGCATCGGGAGACGCACTAAGTAATGGCTTTGATGGCCGATGCGAACGGAGGACTCGGGAATTCCGGGGATATTCGGGATTAATGAGACGAGGGGTGAGACCATTTTTGGCGTCCAATTATTCTAATCGAATGGGAATCTCGAAAATCTTGGGGAATTTCACGATTTTTTATTCCGTATTGCAACCATTTTCAATCATCAAATTTGGCAGTTGAATTGCGTGAGGAAAATTGGAGAAAAAAGTTTTTTTTTCAATTTTTCTTTTGAAATTTGAAATTGCTTTGCCACAATTTTTTGCACATTCAAAATTGATCTGCATTCCGTGCTAATTAAATCATGAATATATACCCTACTATCAATGGGTCAATGATGAATGCATAAGAAATGTCGTAAAACTAGTTGAAAAGGAATTGCTAATAGATCAGCTGAGGAACTCATCCGACGGAATCCCCAAATTGGTTTTACCGCCGGAGGGCCAAGATTGGAGATACCCTCCAATATGCTCAGGAAAAAGAATCCAATTAACCCCGGTCCGATATTCTTACATGACAATGTTCTCTCATTTGAACCCTTCCATTTTTTTCATCAGTCTGAAGGATTTATAGTCGGGATGCGGGAGTCATTTAAATAGTTATTAACGGTTTCTCGGTGTTGACTCGACTGAAGCATGACCAAAGTGATTGGTAATTTCAACTGAAATTCCAGGTAAAATCCTTGGAATTTTTTAATATTCGAGAATTAATACGAAATAAACATGAAATTATAATGTGTTTTTCAACTGAAGAATTAATTTTTTTATAACATTTAGTGAAAAATAAAATTTTCATCACGCTATGGGGAAAAGTGACATTTCAGGCACGCTCCGCGTGCCTAAAAGTCCCTTTCCCACGCATTGTGATGAAAAAAATCGTTCGATACACGTGGGAAA